AAATAGAGGCGGTGTTTCACCATGTTGCTCAGGCTGGTCTTGAACTCCGGACCTCAAGCAATTCACCCAACTTGGCCTCCCAAAGTGCTGGGATTATAGGCATGAGCCACTGTACCTGGCCCTATTTTTTGGTTCTTTACTCAGATTTTTAAGGTGGAAGACTAAACCATGTCTTACATTGTCTTCTTAAAACTGCACTGTACATGTAGCAAGAGCTTAAAAAATGCAGAGATAAAAATAAGATTTCCAGTGGATTTTTACCTCTACAATCATTTGAGTTCTTCAGTATTACTGTAAATAAGGGTAACATAAAATTAGCGTAAATTGACTGAACACAGTGGCTCAGGCCTATAATCCCAGCACTTTGGGGGGCTCAGGTGGGAGGATCACTGGAGCCCAGGAGTTTGAGACAAGCCTGGGCAACATAGTGAGACCCTGCCTTTACAAAAAAAAATTTTTTTTTAAAGCTAGTGGCTATGGTAGCACACACCTGTAGCCTTAGTCAGGAAACTGGTGGGAGGATTGCTTGAGCCCAGGAGATTGAGGCTGCAGTGAGCAGTGATCATACCACTGCACTGCAAACTAGGTGACAACGCAAGACCCTGTCTCAAAAACAAAACCAACAAATTAGCCTAAATTTGCAGATACATATTTTTGAGGCCTATGCAGGTAAACTCAAAGTCCAGTTCAATTTCCCTTTGGTCACAATAAATAATGTGATTGTTGCCCAGTACCATTAATTTGGTAGCTTATTCAAACAGGAGTGTGAATAAGTTCACGGATCATATTTGGATTGCTTCACATTTTTAGGCAGCTTGGATTAATTAGGAGAAAGTCAATTGCATCAGCAAATGGGAATCTAGGAAGAAGCAAATCCAGTAAGTAGTATGCTTAGTTTCTTTGTACTTTGTAGCCTTGCACTTTCAGCATTGGTAAAGCATAAGAACAACTTGATCTTTTGCAGAGCAGTTGTTTGACTACTTAATTGTCATTGATTTTGAATCAACATGCTGGAATGATGGGAAACGCCACCATAGCCAGGAAATAAGTAAGTCTGGACTACCAATGGCCAAAGCTGGCACCAAATAAGTCACTTTAAAGTATATAGACATAACTCAGCCAAGAGTTTAAGAAAATACATTGGTCTATGCATTGGTAGTTTGATATAAAACCTGTGTTGAATAAGAAAGAGCAAAATCTCAAATACCTAAATGTGTTATTATATAAAATAGTTGTTTTATATTACATAAAATACCTCAATGGCATAGAAACTGAAAAAAATACCTTTGCCAAAAGGAGTAGATTTTATATTCCATATGGTCTTTATATTTAATTATATTGAGTTTTCTTTTAAGACAACATACTCATAACTTTAGTGTTTTGATTTATTCTTTAGCATAACTTTGTTATAACCTTTATGTCACACTGCTTTGGCCATTTTAATATGCTTTTACTGAAACTTGGTTGTTTAATAATGCTGTTGAAATGATGTGTGTTTAATTTAGGATGATTACAGGGTTAATTTTAAAATTATATATTCAACTGTCAATTGATGTTTCTTTTGTTTAGTTGAATTTCCAGCAGTGTTGCTGAACACGTCAACTGGACAGACTGAATCTGAGTTCCATGCTTATGTTCAACCTCAGGAACATCCAATTCTTTCAGAATTTTGCATGGAATTGACAGGCATAAAGCAGGTATGATGCAAATTTTAAAATTCAGAAGTTAGTCTCAAAAAGAAAATAAAAGTTATTATACCATTTGGAATTACATTTATTTATTGTTAGACATGATGGCTTTATGCCTGTAATCCCAGAACTTTGGGAGGCTGATGTTGGAGAATTGCTTGAGGCCAGGAATTCAAGACCAACCTAGACAACATAGTGAGAACCCAGTCTTTACAAAAAAAAAAAAAATTTTTTTTTTTTTTTTTTTTTCAGTTAGCCTGACTTGGTGGTATAGTCCCAGCTACTTGGGAGGCTGAGGCTGAGGTGGGAGGACCACTTGAGCCCAGGAGTTTAAGACTGCAGGGCAGTATAATCTCAGTCTATCGTAGGCAACAAAACTTGTCTCTGAAAATAAATAAATAAATAAATAAGATTAGTGTTATTCTAGATTCAGAATTCTATTTATTTATTTGTTCGTTTATTTTTGACACAGAATCATGCTCTGTCAGCCAGGCTGGAGTGAGGTGGCTGAGCTCACTAAAAGCTCTGCTTCCTCGGTTGAAATGATTCTCATGCCTCAGCCTCCTGAGTAGCTGGGACTATAGGCACATGCCATTACGCCTGGCTAATTTTTATATTTTTAGTAGAGATGTGGTTTCACCATGTTTGCCAGGCTGATCTCGAACTCCTGACCGCAAGTGATCCGCCCACCTCGGCCTCCCAAGGTGCTGGGATTATAGGTGTGAGCCACCTCAGGACTCAATTTAAAAAGCAAAGGAACACGCCTGTAAACCCACCACTTTGGGAGGCCAAGGCGGGTGGATCACCTGAGATCAGGAGTTCAAGACCAGTGTGGCCAACATGGTGAAACCTCATCTGTACTAAAAATACAAAAATTATCCAGGCATGGTGGCACACATCTGTGATCCCAACTACTCAGGAGGCTGGGGCAGGAGACTCGCTTGAACTGAGAGTTGGAGGTTGCAGTGAACTGAGATTGTGCCACTGCACTCCACGCTGGGCAAGAAAGCAAGACCTTATCTCAAAAAAAATAAAAAAAAATTTTTTTTAAATAAATGAAAAGGAAGGGAAGAATAGTGTTATAAAAATAAGGATCAAATTGATTTTGTGGAAATTAAGTGATTCAAATTTGTCTTTCATTTCTGTTAGTCTGGATTTAATGATCATATTTCTGTGTGATTTTAGTTTTATCAACCTAATTTGTCTTACCTTGGTGGATTCTAAATATTGTTTCTTTCCCATGTGTTTTTACATCTTTCCACTAGATAAACTCTTTGCCAGTTAGAATTGCTTTGTTACATCTTCCCATAATACATTGCGTTTTCATGACTTGGCATTTCTGATTCTTTTAAAACCATTAATCTTTCTCCACAGTTATAAAATATGCTAAATAATCATGGACTTTGATCGTTGAATTCAGATTTTTTGACTCTCTACTCAGACTCAAGTTGATGAAGGAGTCCCTCTGAAGATTTGCTTATCTCGGTTCTGTAAATGGATTCATAAGATTCAGCAACAGAAGAAAATTATTTTTGCTGCTGGGGTTTCAGAGCCTTCTACTTCTGAAGTAAACTTATGTGCATTTGTTACTTGGTCAGGTAAAAAATATCACAAATGGGTAGTGTTAACACTATGTAATTCTTTATTTCTAGTTTTATACTTGCTAACCTATTTTATATTTGTTAATCTCCTGGGCTAGGAAAAAAAATTTAAATGCCTATCAGATGTTAGCCAAGAAAGGTAAATTCATACATATTTTTCAAGTTAGCCTTTTGGAATTCCTTAAAATTTTAAGCCTGAACTTAAAAAAAATCTTTCTAGAGTTCTACTATTTTCTTATGAATTAAGCAAAGATGATTTAGTGAAAACTCTTATCATGCTATTTTCTACAGAGTCTTCATCAGTTCAACATCCATTGCTTTTATGCTTTGACACTTAAAAGAAAAAAAAATGAGCCATTGAAAGTAGCTTTTTGTATGACTGTGGTGGAGCACTGCTGTTAATAGTCCTTAACAGCAATACTGTGTCATTGATAGTCATTGATAGTCATATTTGGTTTCCAGTTACTACAAAATGTTTGGTTTTTCAATGACATTAATATTTTCCTAGAATATAGAAAATATAGCCCTTGTAATTTAACATCTTGCTCTTCTTTCTGAAATAGTCAGGGTTTTACTGGGTGTTTAAGAAGTCATTTTCAAATTTAATCATCAACCTAACTTCTTAATAGTAAGTTATATAAAGTGAATAATTTTTAGATATTAGCAGAGCAATGAAATCTTACTGTTTTATATCATCTTCTAGCATTCTATTTGTAAATGGTGGCATCATAAGTTAAAAATGCTGGCATCATTGACTTTGTTCTATTTTAATGTACCTAATGCAGACTGGGACTTGGGGGTTTGCCTGGAGTATGAGTGTAAAAGAAAGCAGCTGTTAAAACCTGTGTTTTTAAATTCTTGGATTGATCTCAGAGCAACTTACAAGGTAAAGGTCAAAAATGGGGACATGGTTACTTTTCTTCTGTTGACAAATGATTAACTTTTATCCTACATATGGGCATGGGTTTCTACAAATAAGATAATTTCTTTTGGAATGGTCACATAAATGCATTTCTTAAAGTATTTAAAAACAATACACACAAAATAAGCACATTTTAAATCTAATAGAACTAAAAATTATGAAAAGTGGTTAATACATAGCCTTTAAAATAGTAATCTTTTTTTAAGATATATCTTATTTTATTCGATTAGCTTTTCTATAGAAGAAAACCAAAAGGACTAAGTGGTGCCTTGCAGGAAGTGGGAATAGAATTCTCAGGACGAGAACATTCTGGTTGGTATAAATTAAAACTTATGTAAGTTATTTGACTTTCAAAAAATATTTCATATGAATTTCATTTTTTGGTAATGTCATTAATAAGGGATATCTTCAGCCTTTAAAAAAACCGCCTAATCTAAACAATTCACATTTTTTTTTTTTTTGAGACAGAGTTTCGCTCTTGTTACCCAGGCTGGAGTGCAATGGCGCAATCTCGGCTCACAGCAACCTCCGCCTCCTGGGTTCAGGCAATTCTCCTGCCTCAGCCTCCTCAGTAGCTGGGATTACAGGCACGCGCCACCATGCCCAGCTAATTAATTCACATTGTTTTAAGACTTTCAAATTACCACTTTCATAAACTATTGTAGGATACACTGCCACCTAGTGGCTTTCTAGTTGCTGAAAAGACATAGCCAAATCAAATGGAGGTTAAACAAGTACCCAAATAATATAATGGATTAGTGAAAAAACTGAACAAGACTATTAGATTATTCACCAATCCTGGTTCCTACAGAATGTTGGCCACATTTTGGGGAGCTGTCTAATACATTTTCAGATCCTCCTCTATAAATGTGGATGAGCTTGTCTTTCATTGGTAATGCTGCCACAGCCTTCCACAAGACCAGTTTATCGTGATTAAAATTAGTAGACGGTCATAAAACCTGGCTGGGTGCAGTGGCTTACGTCTGTAATCCCAGCACTTTGGGAGGCCGAGGTGGGCAGATCATGAGGTCAGGAGTTCGAGACCAGCCTGGCCAACACGGTGAAACCCCGCCTCTACTAAAAATACAAAAATTAGCCAGGTATAGTGGTGCATTCCTGTAACAGTCCCAGCTACTCAGGAGGCTGAGGCAGGAGAATCACTTGAACCCGGGAGGCCGAGGCTGCAGTGAGCCAAGATTGTGCCATTGCATTCCAGCCTGGGCAACAGAGTGAGACTTCGTCTCAAAAAAAAAAAAAAAAAAAAAGCTACAATTTCTATACAAGTGGTAGGTGGTTGTTGTTGTTGTTGGCTGTTATTTTTTTAGTACTAAGGAAATAGTACTAGTACCACTAAATTCAGTGTTTGATGTCTGTATCCTCAGGGTTGGACGATTCTCGGAATACTGCCCTTCTTGCTTGGAAAATGATCAGGGATGGCTGTCTAATGAAAATTACAAGGTCGTTGAACAAGGTTAGTAGTGTCTTGCCTCTTTAGTCTGTCATCTCAAACTTCATAAACAGGAATGTGTTCTTTGAAAATGTAGATTTAATGTGTGTAGTCATTTATAAATCAGTGACATTTCTCTTTTTTATCATAAACTATATACTGAAGAAATTATGAACGCACAGTTTCTAAAACTGTTGGATTTGTCTGTGGAATCATAGGTTCCCACTAAGAAGAATTCCAACATTCTGGCCAGAAATTTGAATACAAATCAAGTTGAAGAAATGTCTGCCTGTAACAGCATCCAGGGTCCTAGCATGTATAATAAGGAGCCTAAAAATACAATAAATTCTCATGAAAAAGTTCAAATGAAGTCAGTTTGTGCAAATTTTCCTGTACAGGCACAGAAGGATCAATTACAAGTAAAGAACAATATAAAAACAGGTCTTCACAATGTCAAAAGTTGCTTATCTATTATTAATTCTAAGTCCTCTACTTCTCTGGGGCATTTGCAATCTCCTACCTTGAATTCACTTATCTATATGCAAAAGCAAGGAAAAAATGAACATCTTGCATTTAATACCAAATCTAAGTCTTCAACAGTTGATTCAGAATTGGTACTTGTTTCTACCACCATTCCAACTGTTAATCATGTTTCTGATATGGAAATGAGCTCTACCCTTGACTGTTTACCTATGTTGACTGATTGGGAGGATGTGGTTTTACTGCCAGCATCTCAGCCTGAGAAAAACATAGACTATACAGTTCCCATTAGTTCAGACTTAGAGATTTCATTTAATTCTGGAGAAAGATTAATGGTTCTGAAAGAATCAGAAATGCCAAGTCATGAAAACTTTGGAGACATAGAGGAAACTCTTCAAAAATCTGAGACTTCTAAGTCTATTGTATACAAGAGTCCTCACACTACTATTTATAATGTAAAAGAAGCCAAAGATCCAGGTTCAGATGTTTCTGCCTTTAAGTTACCTGAACACAAATCAAGTACCTGCAACAGAGTTAATGCCAATATGTCTCATCCTTTAGTTTTGGGGAAACATCCTCTTCTTTCAGGTGGTACCAAAAGGAATCCATGCAGTCCTCAAGCTTTCCCACCAGCAAAAAAACAACCCTTCACTATTCATGAAGAAAAGCCTACGTCCTCTGATTGCTCCCCAGTAAGAAGTTCCTGGAAGCTTTTCCCATCTGTATTAACTTCTACAGTTAACCTACAAGAGCCTTGGAAGAGTGGGAAAATGACACCTCCCTTATGCAAGTGTGGGCGAAGGTCTAGGAGACTTGTTGTTTCTAATAATGGACCAAACCATGGAAAAGTCTTCTATTGTTGCCCTATTGGGAAATACCAAGAAAACAGAAAACGCTGTGGTTATTTCAAATGGGAACAAACACTTAAAAAGGAAAGAGCCAACAGCATAGTTCCATTTCATTCCACAGGGGAACTTACTTTTCATTCTCCAGAAACAAGCCATCTTCGTGACCTAAATTTAAGTATTTCCACCAGAAATTCCTCGAGACTCAGGCCTTCAATGAGGAATTGATAATCTTTCATGTATGAATTCTAATTATTCTTTGAATTTCCAAACATGAGTATTCTGATAACATCTTACACTATTTTATACATTAATGTTTACTGAATTCATCATACTTTCTTCAGGAACCATAAATATCATCTTTTGTTAACAGTATTTATTAGATTACATATAATAAACAACAATAGTATATGATCCTTCTTTTATACTTCGACCTTGAAGCAAGTCTTAAACTATTTTTAAATTATGTGCACAAAAATGTGACTAATAAAAATCCCTAGTCTATTTTCAGTTAGATACATGTACTTTGATAATTATCATAATCTTCTAACTGGTATTTTGTATTTTTCTAAAAACTTTTATAAGTTGTTTAGTTTTATTTCACGGCTTGAACATTGATTCTGATTTGTATATCAACATATCAGAAGAATTAGTCAACTAAAGCTTGAAAACCTATGTAGCAGAGATTTGGTTCAGAAACTGCTTCTATACTATACATTTAAAAATTAATAATTGATGACTTTATTTTTATATTAAGAAATGATGGGAGGCTGGGCGCGGTGGCTCACGCCTGTAATCCCAGCACTTTGGGAGGCCGAGGCGGGTGGATCATGAGGTCAAGAGATCGAGACCATCCTGGTCAACATGATGAAACCCCGTCTCTACTAAAAATACAAATATTAGCTGGGCATGGTGGCGCGTGCCTGTAATCCCAGCTACTC